AACAATCATCTCTACAGACTCTCTTCTCTTAATCTTTGTCAATTATGCCCAATAATGGATTAATAGTGTTAAATATTTATCAAGTAAGCCTTTTATCAATTCCATAGGTCATTATTCTATTGTAAAAAGAATACTGATCTGGTCTTTCCATCCATTTATCATTTCTATCCGTAAATAGATAAAATTACAATGAATTCAAAAAAAATGTTCCTTCTTTGTCAGCAGTTCCCGCAGCTGGAGATCGAGACGCCCGCGGAGAAAAAGGTCTACGCGTACGAAATTCTTCTCTCAGGCCAGGGTTCATCCCATTGACTCTCACTTGGGCACCAGGCTTTTTGGTCAGCCCAGGAGGATCGAGCTTGGTCGGTGGTCATTATTGGCAAGGGACGGGTCAGCTGGGTCACGAGTCCACGAACGGGAATGTCTCAGGTAGGGGGGTCGAGGGCGGTGGGGGGCGTCTCGTCTTTTGTGAGTCGATTCGTGGTGCGTGTGGTGTTTGGGTATGGTAATTTCTTAAATCGAAATGAATCTTCGATAGTGTGTTCTTTAATCAAAATCAAGAGCATACTGCCTTCTCCCTCTTGCGGTAATGTAAGAAAATCACATCCTGTGTGTTGTGTGATTTTGTGTGTGTGTGTTGTGTTGTGTGTGTGTGTGGTGTGTGTTTGTAGTGTTGTGTGTGTGTGTTGTTTCCCTTCGTCCGCCCTGTCCTTCGTGTGTTGTGTGTGTCTAGTGCCTGTTAGGTTTCTGTTGTTGGGTCGTGTGTGTTCTTGTTTTCGTTGTTCTCTGCTCGCTTGTGTTCGTGTTGTCCGCTTTCGTGTTATGTTGTGTTAGTCTGAGGTCTATGACATGTGATGGCATAACGACGTTGAACGTGTCACGGTTGATAATTATAGAATTAGATACATATATATAATATCCTTTATAATTATGATCATAACTTACAAAGTAATCTATAATTACATTTACAAATATCTTATATGATATCTATTATAGTTTATTTTGAGGTATGACCGAGTAAAAGGTCGGTTGAGGATAGGGAGGAAAAAGGGCTATATCTATATTGGTGAAGAAAGTGGATAAAATAAGTGTGTGTACGTATTGGTTTGTATGTATGTAAACATATGTCTTTTATTACTCCTGGTATATGTCTGTCGAGTTCGACTTGGTCTAGATCGACAAGTAATTTTATATGATCCTCGTGCTTTCCTCTTCTTTCTTTGCATCCTTGTCTTTTTGCTCCTCTTTCCTCTTCTTAAAGGACACCATTCCAGGCTCAGGAGATAACACAGGGAATCTAGGTTTGGAGGGGGGTACACAAAATTGGAAATCCAATTAAAGAAAGAATTAATTAAATAACGAGTAATCACGGAGATGATAGATCTAAAGGGAATAACAGAGGCGAGAGACGGAGGAGACAGCAAGTCCAAAAGTCGTAGGTTCAACGAAGAGCATGATATTAAGAAGGTGGAGCAAGGGTTTTTATTACCGAGCACCTGGACAGAATCACGATGAACCGCATGTCCGACACCCACAGTTTTCTACCGTGGTTCATCAGCTTTGGCTACCTTTCCTCGCTTTTTTTCAGTTCTCCCCTCTTCATCTCTTCGCCTTCTCTTCTTCCTTCCCTCTCCTCTCTCCTTTCCTCTTCCCTCATCATCCTCCCTTCCTTTTCCCCTTCTCTCTCTCCCTCCTCTTCTCGTTCTCTTTCTCTCTTCTTCTTTCCACCTCTCACTGTCTTCTCTCCTCCTCTTCCCTCCCTCCTCCTCCACTCCCTGCCTCACATTCTCGCTCTTCCTCTTCCTTTCCCCTCCTCTTCTCTCACATCCCTCCTCCCTCTCCTTTCCCTCCCTCTTTCACACTCACCTCGTCATATCCGCCTTCTCCCCCTCACCGCCTCGCTCTCGCCAGCTGGGGGACCATCCACCATCGTCGGGCCCGCGGGACGGCAATGCCCTTCCTCTCTCTCGTCTTCGATAGGGTTGGCATTCGCGCAGTACCACTGGCTACCTCTCTGGCGTCCGTCTCTCTTCTTCTCCCTCGATATCTTGCTACTCTTCTCTGCGTCTTTTGAGCTCTCTCTTTCTGTCTCATCAGCCTCTTTCCTCACGCTTCCTCACCCTCCCGTACTCAATTTACTCTTTCGCTGAATACCCACGTAATAGGTTACCGGCTCTCGATCGCCCGCGGGAAGGATTGCACAACACTGCACTCAGAATGACGGCTTAGAAGCTCGCGACTGGAAATTTGCTTAAGCGGCTCTGTGAGGTGATTTTGCGACAGGCAGAAAGAATGAGATGGAGCAGCGGGAAGGATGGGTGGCACCCCATCTCGTAGAAATAGCCGTCCAACGTCGCAGTGGCTTTAATCGGGCGTAGGTGTATGGCGGGTGTATCTTTTTGCGTGGATAAACAAAGGATGAGCAGGGGGGTGTGAAGACCCGCATCCTTGCAGTGCCCGCCAGCTGCCCTCTGACGTCACGATTGTGCTGCACGCTGATTGGTCGCTTCTGTCCTGCACTTTGTGGTCCGTCCGGAGCCGTCGGAACTGTCGTACGGTTTCCATATGTTGTTTCGTATTTTTTCTATTACTTGTCTCCGATTAGATTTTATTACGAGAAGGATATAAAAAAGTATACTCTAGTCTTAAGTTTGATCGGTAATCTGTT